ACTGAGGACTTCACCTCCGTCTTTGAACAGTGCAGGTGGGAGGTCATCCGGACCGGGAGCTCGGTGGCGCTTGAGAGAACATATGCATTCGTAAACCTCCGAGGCCGTAGGTGGTTCCACGTTCACCGTCCAGGGTTCTAATTCACCTGTGGGCTGCAGATGAGTGCTGGCTGGTGGCCAAGACATTTGTTGCTCAAAGTATTCAGCCCACCGGTCAAGGCGTTCCTCCTTATTAGAGATGGTCGTTCCATTCTGATGCTTGATGCTTTCACTCACAGGTGGTTTCCGGGGACCGGTCGCACGGATTAACCGAAATAATCTCCGGGCATGACCGGCTTTCTGGGCCTCTTCCATTTCTTTGACTTTCTGTGTCCACCATACTTCACGGTCGGATCGCAAGCTCTCTTTCAATTGACGTCTGATGGCTCACTTGAGCTATGGTTCTGAGACAAACAGTGTCGAGCACCTGAATACGTCTCAGTTTTGCTGCTAGAACAGGCCAATTCCCACAGCCATACAATAAAACATCCCATACTGTAGCTCAACACACATGTCCCTTGAGTTTCAGGAATACACCGCTTTAACGCTATGGGTGCTTCAAACTGAAAGACTCGACCCGAGTCTTGTAGGTTCGTGCATTGACCTCATCTGTCACACTACAATCAGGATTGATGCAGTTTCCAAAATACTCCACCAATTCAAGTGCCTCTCCCTTGACAGTAATATGCATGTTCAATGACTGCATGTCTAGGAACATGGCCGCATATTTTTGTGGGTACAAAGTAGATAATGTGTTCCACACCAGAAGCTATGTTAGTCAGGATATGTTTTGTGCATGTGGAACCACCGTTTGCCGAAAAGAGTGCTGTTTTTCGAGTCAGGTTCAGGGTGACGGAAGCAGAGAGATGGCCAACGTTTGACCTGGCAGTAGGGCATGAAAGAGATTACGGAGTGTTTGCGTGCTATCGGTGCTAGTCGCATTTCAGGATGGAGGCCGCGTGATCTCCACTGTGCCTTGTTGGAGACGCTACACAGTATGGCTGCCAGCTGATGTCCATGGCGTTCTCTTTGTCGGTTTCCATCCAGACCTGAGCGGATGTTTGTAGGTATAGACACCTTGGAGCGATTGTGGTAAGCTAGCATTAACTCTTCCTTCCGCTCTCATTGTCTTCTTCATAATAGTGCTTTCAAATGAATGACGGTTTGAATGGGGTGAACCATTAGTGTTGAAGGCTAATGTTGTTGTGTCGATGATGATGACTCAGCGGTTAGAGCGCGAATTTACTGACCGGAAGGTCAGGACCTCTGTCCCTCGACTTTCCCTGTCTAGGCTTGGGTGATCTCGCAATATCCCGTCCCTCATGCTCCCTTCTGGCGGCATGGCAGTTGGGCGCTGGAAGGGTGATACAGCTGAATGATGATGATGACGGCTATACGTCAATCGCCGAATTCTGCTCGTGGTACTTTCTAGCGTGCACACTGATGCCACTGTGTTTCAAGACGCTCAGTATCGTTTCTTGATGCGATTCGATTCACTCCTTCTGATTTGAGGGATAATTCAGCTAGGCGAAGAATTAGACGACGGGTCGAACGTAGTATGTATGTGATCAGTGGTTTGGTGTGACAGAGTTCAGGCAATGGAAGAGGTCAGTACATATGCTCCAGCTAATCAGCAAAACAGGACCTAAAAGGCCTACCATAAGTGACTCAATCGAGGATAATACTGTAAATCTAATATATGTAGTACAGATTAATTTAGTTGGCCCTTGGCCACTGTACATATGTCTTTCTTTCAACCCATTCATTTGGAGTCGTTGTGTGAGTTTAGATCCCCTCAGACGATGAAGTACCACCATCGGCTGCTGCACCAGATGCGCATCCCCCAGAGTTGTTCAAAGATGAAGGGGAATCTTTGTGTTCCGCTTTGATAGGTTATTCGTACTTATTTAAGAACAAGGACGTGTTCCGGATAGTTGGGCTCAATCGGTGGTGCACAAACCAACTGTTCCGGCTGCAATACAACTAACGACTTCCCTTATGTTGCCATACCTATCTTCAACATGTGAGACGCAAGTCCGAAAGTAACAAGCAGAATTTTGACATGGCAAGGGTGTACTGATCATATCTTTACATTACGTCAAGCGCCACTTACACAGCCGACCAACAGTCACAGTCCTCCTCAAAGGAATCTTCGACTCTGTTGATATATTAGCTGTCCTGTGTATCTTTACTCATAGGAATATGCCCTTGGGATTTGTAAATGTTCTTGATGCCCTTTACTCCAATACCTCCAGTCGCATTAGGGTATAAAGTGAACTATCCAGGAGTTTCCTGACAACAAGCGTAGTTCTCCAGAGCTATCCCTGCTGTCCATTTTTCACTTGTCATTGACGTCATTGTGGTGTACAAACTCCAAGGGTTTGTGGATTTAGATAATGAAATCGCGCCAGGAGAGAGAATAACGGATTTGGGTAATGCGGATGACAGTTATGTTGTCTGACGATTATTTGTCCCCGCAGAGTACAACCAGAATGTCGGAGATGATCCTATGTTTTGGCATGCGTCTTCAAGATTTTCCATCCCTTTGTGCTCCTCCCAGAATGCGGAACTTGATTTTGTAGATCGTTTCGCGTGTCTTTACAGCTACATAATTCGATGTTGTACTGTAACAGATCAAGTTATTGCGCGGATAACCAAGGCCTGAGCAACTGCAAACTTGCGTCATTTATGGCGTCCAAACTGACTTTAGTTGAAGCACAAGGACCGTGTATACAAGGCAACTGTAATATTTTTGTGGGACTTGGGCTCTCCGATCCGAGGATCTGGGCTATCTTCAAGTGTCTGTTCACCACTGTCACCGTAGCATAGCAATAGTAAGCTGGCTGCAGGGAGTCCGCCACAAGATTGTGCGTAACTAAAAACTTGATAAAGAATCCGATTCTGTGGAGCATGGACTAAACTTGCCAGTTTGAGGTGTTTGGGACATGTGCTACGTATGCCAAACCACTGTCTACTCAAGAAAGCGTTGTTTTGTTTTCCGAGTGATTGTTGGCGGAAAATTCGCGGGCGACAGGCATCGTGAAATAAAAGCAGCTATTGTCAAACTGAACTCTGGGAATTTCGCGTCCTCGTGGATGGACGTCACATGATCCTGCTTAGGGTGGTTGAAAACCCTGCAGGGTATGGCACGCAGCCATTCCCAGTGACGCTTATGTTATCGTTTCATGTCGCACGCTGATATTTGTTTTGGTGCGGTTCGCAAGCAGCGTGGAGTTGATCCAACTTACGATGCTCAAACATGGTTGCTTTAATGCTGTTAAAAAGTGCGGGTACTTTATCTTTGATCATTTTCTACAAGGACCCCCGTCTTTTCTTTCTACTCTTTACTAACGCTTTCTCCTTCATGATGGTATGACAGTTTAGCACCATTTTTTATTACGGGTGTACGGTTATGGATCGGATGTTGTCATTTCCTAATTGAACTGCCTAGCTGAACCTCGCCTATCCTTGTCCTCTGAGCTTTTATTGGTTGGGTAGCGCGGGGTCCACATCGCTGATGGCATTCACTTTGACGTGGTAATGCTTTTATCTCAACGCTGTCAAAAGATCGTTTTCTTTAAGGACATAAGGCTCTTTTGAACCAAGTTCCCTTTTGTTTCCACTCTCTTTTGAGGTCTTTATATTTTTTTCGCCAATTTGTCTTATTGATGCACTGCTACCAACTATTATCATAATGATAGTGATGAACCAAACAAAGAAAGCCGCTGTGCAGTGTCAGAAAATCGCTAGTCAGATCACCATTGCCAGAACTTCGAGTTCGTTCGTGTGGCAGAATAAATGAGGCAAGTGAGAGTAGTAAGTGGAAGACCTAGGTAATCTTGCTTTTCAAGCGATTGTTGTGGAGGGAGAGAGTTTGAAGTCATGAAAACTTGGCTCACTCGGTTTATTGTGCATATCTATTTCTAATCGATAAATTCTCGGTCGGCGACGCGAAACAGAAGCTTGGACTGACATGTCACACTAATTCCTTGTAGGATGTGTGATGGTGCTTCGGTTGGCAGCGATAGTTTCCTAAGTTACGCCGGACGTGCCAGAAGATAGGTCATTTTATTTCACCGCATAGAATTACTGATCCAGGACAGAGTGACAATCACCTGGATATACTGTCATATACCGACGGTGAATAACACAACTAGGCAATCCCTTGAGTAGCTGATTGCGCACAATCAGCTCATATTAGCGCGAATGTACGAATCCATTCCATCTTACATTTTGAAGGCTCACCGCCGGGGACTTTCGGGCGCAAGTGATAGAGGGCGAAACTTGGTGCTTCACGCGGAGGATAAAGAAAACTGAAAAGCCAAACCAAGTAGCATATTTTGATGAACGGGAACTAAATACCGCAAACTAGCCTACAGACATCGGCGAAGCCTCGTGAGCAGAGGGATAGTGAACGCTGCACGGAGTTATATATCGTTGACGCTAATGGAGAAGCACCAAGTGATGAGCCTTTCATGCGTTAAAGCATGTGGCTTGTGAGCTACAACAAACTCCACCGGGTCAGCACATTTCAGTTTTTCAACCGCCTGTTACCCGTGATTCGGGTCATTGCGGCGTCTGATCATGAATCGTGTAAGTTGAGGGGTTTCGAATACACAGTAAACAATTTGATATACCGATGGCCAAAACAGATATGACCGAATTACAACCGAATGAATATGGGAACATCATTCGCAGCTCGACATCTTCATACCGCTGGATTCCCTCAACTATTAATTGAGTCTTTAAGATAACTTGGAACAATTCGGATAAAACCCACTCACACTTTCCACGGTTACTTGTCAGGCTGCGCGCCAATGTAATAGGATAGTCGAAACCTACTTCTGGAAGAAGGTCTAGAAATGACCTATAGACCTTCTGGACCTTCTGGAAGAAGGTCTAGAAATGACCTATAAACCTGTTCACCTTCCGTCTTTACTATTCCCAAAAATAGCATTGAAATGGATTTACTTGGGTTGGGAGAGTGCAGATGAATTGTCAAAGTAGTCGGATGAATATGTACAAAAGTCAGGTGCCAATAATCTGCTCTGCCTTGATCTCAATTCTAAGCCATCTCTTATCGAAAGCGTTCATTGAGACGTAGTTTTTGTTGCTTAGGGCTTCTATATCCCTAGAATTGCTTCAGATAGTTTCCTTCTGGATTAAATTTTCGGATTATGAAAGTCCTTCATTATGAGCATTCTTAGTCTCCAAACCTGGTTTGGAATGTCGCTCTACTCCGGCGCTCGTTCATTCTGTACAATCTGGCTACTTGTCAGGTGGCAGTAGTAAGTTCGAATCGTGTTTGGATGATGTCAACCGCGGTTGTCGGATGCTTCTGGAAACCCAGAGTTTTTCATGGGTTAACAATGCTCTCTGAATTACGTCCCAACAATTATTGTGTCTCTCCTGTGAGAATGCCTATCCACACGTGTTGATGTCGAATTCAGTTCTCCTTGTATCCTGTTGTTATGGTTATCCTGTCTGGTTTTTTTGTTTTCAGGTCCTCGGACTACGACAACTGTCACTGTTGCTCAACCAATGAGCTCACAAATGAGCAACACAGCTCCGGCGCAGGTAGCTGGGCGGCGCATGTTACCCACTGATCCACGTTTGCATCAGATTATTGGGAGGGCTGCTGCAGCGTACGTTTATGTGACCTTTTCCCCAAATATTTTTCATGTTTCCCCAATTCAGTTTAGTAACCAGTTCATTGTGACCAATCCACTGGTCTTTTGCAGGTCTGAATAGTTCTGTGAAGTGGGTGGATGTGATGTTTGTGTTGTTGAAAAACCGAAGAAACCCTATGCACAAATTCAACAACCACGTCCAGCTAATTACGGCTGATTGATATCTATGTCTACTCTCAATTATGGCGAAGTCTGTCAGGTCTAAATTGTTTGTTTCATGAGGTTGTCACAGGAGTTGTCTGATGAAAACTAACAAAGCAGTGGAGATCAAATGAACAGGAAAGGGTGAAATAGTCAGCCTACTTCCTCGTCATCGTTGGTGACAGTGAGACAGTAAAAAAACTGGCGCCTAAATACCGCACAGCCCTGAGGAAAACGCCGCACTGAAAAGTTCGAAGAATATGAGGAAGTACCTGATGGACACATCTTGTATTCCTACATTTCTAACACCACTCTGGCATCGCAATGTCATACTCGAGTTAGACGCCATGAGCACAATTGATCTAGCCTCGTTTGCGGACCTTATCCAACCAAAGCCATGACTGAGCAGCTAATTTAGACTGACTTAGGATTACTATTATACCTGTCTTGTATACACGGTCCTCCCAGCTTCTGCGAATTTTGTCGTTGACACCACAAATGACGCAAGTTTGTAAAAGTTGCTGTGGGCAAATTGACGGTTGACATAAGGGTCGTTTGTTCAAGAATGGATTGTGATTGAAACATTTTTGTACCTTAAACCATAATGAAAACATAGAACTATCTGTATATGTGTCTTGCTCATTGTCTGGTTCATTGTTTTCAAACTTTATAGAAAACGAAAGCGCCGTCTTGCTGACCGACTTCTCCCAAAAACCATTCGCGAAATCATACCGGAATCAGAGTCGTATATGGAATTGCTAGAAGTGGAAAAGAAACTGGATTTTGTGCTGATGCGGAAGCGCCTTACTCTACAGGAGGCAATGAAAAGACCGTTCAAGGTATGTGGTGTTATTTTATCGATTGTGACATCGGTTCATTAGGTAAAGCGGAAACTTCGTGTCATGCTCAGCAGTACATTTAAACCAGGCATACCTGCCGGTGCTGTTGGACCTGATGGGCAGCGACTCACTGGGGATGCTGCGCCAGGCTGGGAACTCAGAGTAGAAGGCCAGTTACTAGACAAGGTAGGTCTTGGTTCTTTTTTGGTTGTCATGTTCATTGGAATTCTGTGCACCGTGCCGTTTACCTGATAGGCCCTGTGCTTATGGGGTTGTTCGAATAAATAACGTACAAGAATGAAGTGTCTCGATTGTCAAAAGTAGCTTCTCGCAAGGACCGTGCATGTGTGGAATCATAGCCACTTTTTTCCAAATTCGGTTTTCGATGAAAGCGTCCATTTACTCAAACGCTGTGAAAGATGACCTGTTTTTTTACATCAGTACAATAACTTTGCTGTTTTTTATCAACAGCTGTATCGTCTCATGAGGGTACAAAATTAAAAACCAGTGAACAGTAATCACTGACAGCAAAACTGCCAGTCATTGCCCCACTGGTGATTCTACGTGAACCAGACGTAGGAACACTAGGGAACAGAATTGGAAAGGGAAACCGAGCTGCACGTAGCATAAGCGGAAGGCCAGTTGTCTAAGGTTGGAATCAAACATGGTACCTTCTGTTTGCCGATTGCTGAATTATCGTTAGCAGGTTTCCTCGTCCCACGAATGTACTAAATCGCTCGCCATTCTTCTAGCTTATCGCCTACCAATCGGCAGCATCAAGCCCACTGGTTAACCGCTTTCGCGACTTTTAAAATGCACAAGACTTGATGTTATACAACAGAGCGGTCTGTATGTCCAACGCGTTTTACTGAGAGCAGAATATGCCGTTTGTAATAAATACCACTTGGGTCAATATATATTACATTTCTCAGTAGGGGGTTGGTGTTCAAAGAACCAGAAAGTCTAGATTAGCCTTCAGTCAAGCTCAGTGTTACTCTTTGTTCCTCATTTACCTAGCCCGGCCAACCGAGTAACAACGATGCCAAATATCGCCGCAAGTTTTCGTCATTTTTCAAATCCCTGGTGATCGAATTGGACCGTGACCTGTATGGACCAGACAACCATCTGGTCGAGTGGCATCGTACTCCAACGACTGCAGAAACAGATGGTTTTCAGGTATGATCGATGAGCTTTCCGTACTGTGTGTAATCAGCTCTGTGCCATACAAACCCTTCTCACTCCAATTTTCTACCATTGCTACTCTCCATTTGGAACCGCATCTGCGGCTGTTTGTATGATAATGTCCCCTTTCCTTTTCCCTCCTTGTAGGTCAAACGCCGTGGTGACAGCAACGTCCGTTGTACCGTACTTCTGATGCTGGATCACCAGCCACCAGAGTACAAACTGGATCCTAGGTTGGCTAGAATTTTGGCACTTCACAGTGGTACACGATCACAAATCTTTTATGCACTTTGGAGTTACATAAAAACGCACAAGTAAGTGCTTACCCGTTTACGTAGATAGTGTTTCATCAAATACCCGGGGTGTTCTCATTAGCTTCGCTGGTGACCCTTACTGTTGCATCCTTTGAAGACTGTTGCAACCTGATTACTAGCTTAGGGCGTGCTACTTGTTTTCTGCGGAGGAAAATGTTGGTAGCTCAGTTAGGATTGATGGTCATTGGCTTGTTCACTGAGCTGAGCAGTTTGATTGCCCGCTTGGTGGCTGTACCAACACATTTCTACGCACCACCACGCTCCCCAACAACACACCGATGATGCTACATCAGTTGGCGATGAAACGTTTGCAATGAAATCGTCCACCTCAGCGAACAAGCCAACGACCAAACTGTTTGCTCCGTGTTCAAATTCATAGTTGAGATAACAAGCCAGTTCATTTCAGTTTATCAGCTATAAACCAAGTGCCAAGAATACGCTTGTCCGAACTGCTGCCATTACCAGCAAACTCAACTGCGCTGGTCATTGCCATCTTCCTGGATGGGGAACCCGAGACGGGCCATATCAATGGTTAGAGACATTGTCAGACATGGCGCAGTCGCGCCCTCAATGGCGCTAAATCATCCAAGCTATTGCCTTCAATGCATAGCTCCGCTCCCTTCCCCACCACTTAGCAGTCCACCTACAGTGCTGTATCCACGCACTAGGTTATCATCTCTCGCCTCCAATGCGCAGCGACCAACCCCACCTCCCCGAATCATCGGTGAACGAAACTGTGGCAGCCACAATCACTGTACTGTACGACAAGTACGCGGTTATTACAGCTAACAACGATGACGACGACTTCTACGGAAAATGGAAAAGCTGAGGAGACACAGCTAAGCGTTAAAAACGACTGCATTGGTGTTGATGTTTAATCAGTCCAGTTATTTGGCGGAACAGAAATGGGGAGCTACGCATTAAGGGCGATGGTGTGCGTTGTGACTTAGCCGTATCTGTCAGTGTCATTCACCATTGATTAGCTGAGCGTCGGGGTCTTATACGGAGGGCTTTATTACAGGGGAGTCAGCACTAGTTTGCGTTGTTTTTTTCAGATTGATGAATAGCATTGTTGATGCTTGTTATCGGATTTTTCATACTTTTTGAGCAGCGAACTCCTGTTGGACTGCAGTTCACACAATATGTCGATTACGGAAAGGGACACAGGAGGAAATCACATGAATGGATTGTGGTGGCCTTAAGGATGTCATGATTTCCCTGTTCTAAAATACATTTTCATCATTTTGAAATGTGTTGAAGAGATACGAATTTTTTCTTCCACTGCAAAGGTTACCGCGAACAGACAGATTACGTATGACCAGAAGCTTCTTGTCTAACCTACAACCGTGGTGACTCAGTCGCAGAATAAATGGGTTTTCCCCCGAAAAATGGTTGAACACGTTCCAAGGTGTATTCTGCTGATGACTCACTGTACCGAAGGACTAAGTACTTGCTTTTTGTGGTGATTTGTGCGTATATTCGTCGGTATTCCCTCAGGACACTTCAAATTCTGCCTGCACCTGGTTGACTGCTGTTTCGGTTTCACACTGACCAAAGGTTTGTTGATTCAGACAGTCTGTGACTTTGTTTTGAACAAACATAGATCGGACTCACAGCTCTTCATTTATTCAACGAAAGCCGGTACCACTCACAATTGTAGACACCTCCGTTCATTTCTCACTCAGTAATAGGCCGCGATTACAATGCACGTCACGCAACACCACTGTTCGTAGGGGCCATACAAAGTATATTTGCTCATTATCAGCTGTTTACGTCACATTAGTGACCCACCAGACTTCAGGGCGAAGAGATTGTGTTGATCGGTTTGCATGCATTTTTTACTGTGGCGTGTGAACTCACTCCATGTACTGTCGATTCGCGGACAATATATATTCGCTTGTGTCATGGAAAACTGAATATTCAGGGCAGTGTATATCGGGAAGTCCTAAGACCAGCTTTGGTTTGTGGTTGTGCTGCGATGGTCTTGAACGTCCACAAACACGCAATCCTAGAGTGCAGCGTAGTCGTAACGAATAGGGGCGTAAGTCGGTACTTGATAACGAGTTACTAAACAGGTACGCCAGAATGATTGAGGTATATGGTGCACATTCTTAACTGCCATTCACTAAATCGAGCACTGTTTTCCAGTCCATTATGTTGTGGGCGAAGAGTCCGCTATGCCATGCAAACTCGAAATGAAGACAACTGGTCTAAAACTATGTGCATCTTCCTAATGCTTCTGTCTGAACGTTGTTGGAAATCCTAGGAGGATCAGCTCGTATTTTTCCTCGGAGCATGCCGTCACCTCCTAGACAGACTGTCCCAGTTTGTCTGTCACTGTGTGCTGGACTCTAGTTTGCAAAATACCCTGGACCAACCTTTCTGGTGGAGTTCTTCCTCAGAGGATTTTTAGATGTGCTTATTTTCTTGCTACTCTAAGGTTCGAATGCAACCCTTGATCGTTGTACCCAGGGGTATAAAACTTCCCAACCTTTTTCCTTCCTTCCTACTCTTAGGCGATGATAATATGGCAGCTAGTGACCAGTTTCCATCGACCTCATTGTCATGCAGCAGTAATCTCGATCGTTTCGTCTTTGCTTACGCTTTGTGCAACATTTAGCAGGCATTCTGGTAGTGATTTTCTCACCAGACTAGATTACCTGTTCGGATCAAGCGAGGAATATTTACCTGGAATCTAAGGCAAATGAAGTCTCCCGGACGAAGGAACAAATTTAAATCCACTGAAAACACTAAAAGAAGTGTCTCAGTGCATGATGTACTGTAGTACCACCTATTGTGAAAAACATTGTGGCACGGAGTTCTTATATATTGAGTACAATATATACCAAGGTGTTCAAACAAAAAAGATACTCCACACACATCCATGGTTGAATCATACCGCGCCAAATGATATCATGTCATATCTCATGATTTCACTAGCCGGGTTACCTTACTGTATTCAGTATGGTGATTAAGCGGAAATATGTTAGTGTTGACGCCTCTTACGATTGTTTACCCTTCCCCGTTACAAGCCTCTTTTTTCTTAGGAGCCAGTAGATTCGTTCGCCCTTCACTGCCAGTAACTCCAGCGTCCACGCTTGTCTCATCCGCCAGAGCATTAGACACTTCCAAATCACTCCTTACACTCCAATTCTCAGTTCAGCGNTAAAGTATTTGCGGGCCGAATTAAGGGTACGGGAAATCTAGAGGCGGACAAAGCGTTACTCGTTAGAAGTCAAGACAGGATGTTACAGGAAGTCTGAAAACTGTAGGTGCTATTCTGCCTTCAGGATGGGGCCCGTGGATCCCTCTACCACCCGACTGGAGACACTGATGTGTATAGTGACCACTCAGTGCCAGTGGCGTTCATACTGTCAGTTTCTGTCCACGTTCTCTTATTTAGTACTAGAGACGCATGCCCTTAATTTAGTGAACTAGCCCTAAATTCTCTTCCCCACTCCTTTTCTATTCTCTTCACTGCACAATTTTTATTCAAATAAATTGAAGTGGCTATAAGGCACCAAAGCACTGGTGTTGTTGGTGACATTGTCTACAACGATGTGCTACAGTACGGCATCTAAGCAAGAAATTTCTTCCCAGTTTTTCTACACTCATTCTTCCTTCGTTTCCTGTCAGAAAAGATCACTTTCTGGCAAGCAACCTTTCCAGCAGAGCAGCTGTGGTGACCATGACTGTGTCGGCGTTCCGAAAAAGTTATAAATAGTTACGTTTACGAAGAACGTCTGCTACACAGAACCTGTTACATGTGCTAGTGTGTGTGGTTACTGGGTGAGGTGGCCCAAGTGGTTAGAGCGCGAATTTACTGATCGTAAGGTCCGTGGTTCGAACCCGACCTCTACCTCTCGACTTCCCCTGTCTTGGCTTGGGCAACCTGACGGTATCCCAGCCCTCGTGCTTCCTTCGGATGGCTTGGCAGTTAGGCATCGAAAGGGTGCCACAGTTGAACGATTTTTACTGTCTATTCTCCTGGGCCATAACTGAACGTCTACCATAACTGTTCCGATTTTTTTCAGATTACAAGACCCTAATGAAAAAGACTTCATCAATTGTGATCCATATCTCGAACAGGTTTTCAACTGTCCCCGAATGCGGTTCGCAGAAATTCCCAGTAGACTTGTTCCACTTCAACAACCTCCGGATCCAGTCGTTATTAATCACGTAATCACCGTGGAAGGAGACTCACCAAAAACGGCATGTTATGATATCGACGTTGAAGTCGTAAGTATCTTTCACATTGGATCCTTTCACCCCAACCTTGGCCACATTTTCGCTAAATGTTTGGATTGCTTTATGAATCAAGTCAGCTCTCGAGTTGCTTCCGGTCTTTATGGCACCATGTGCCGTAAATTTGCCGGAACTGAACGGCAATAATTTGTCATCAGCTCACATCCCATATCCATTCACTACTCAAATGGAGGCAGTTGTAGTAGCAAACGCCTGAGAGTGATAGCAGTGGTTCAACAGCACAATGTGATCTTATGTTTGACCGTTGCTGGCAAATCTCAGGTATGTCTGCGATGTGACCCATGATACGCGCATCTGGTGTTTAATTATAGCCGGAATCTTATCGACTGTGTAAATGGAGCCACAGTTACCAATCTGATGACGATTGAAGAAGAGAACACAAATCAGTCTCAGATGAGTTCACATTCCTCAAGTACTGTGTTACCAGCAATCCCATTTTCAGAGGGATGCTCTTCTCAACTACTTGAACATGCGCGAAGCTCATTCGACAGACAATAGTCAGATCAATACTCACGGAAACATGGTGCCGTCTGGTGTTTTTTCAAGTTTAATGCAGCGATGCTTTTCGAATTTCGCACTATGGACCACTGTCGTGGAACCAAAACTTATCTGCTGCATCCTTGCCGTGCGTGGCTTTCAGCGTAATTGAGTATCCTATCTTCGAACATCAGATGGCCTATACTGTGGTTTCGAATCCTCCTCACTGCTTAACTATCAGGCAATTTATCTAGCTACGTTGGGAAGTAAGGGAGAAGATGCCGTGAATGTTGTGCTCTGGATAATTCGTGGTTCCAAAAAAGAGCGAAAACCAGCCAATGCTTAATTTTGGAACTGAACACTACGGAACTTGATCCTTTCCGTCATTGCAAGCGAACTGAGCTAAAGATTTACTGGCTTCAAATGAATCATAAAAAAGCCGCTATTGTGAGAAGCAGTGTGCTTCTGCATGTAGAACCCCTAGGACTGATCTCTAGAAAGGACACAGCTATCTGTCCTCGTAAGGTATCCGCAACATTGTATGATGCGATTTCGTTCTGACGCATTACCTTTATAGTTGTTATCTAGCATTTGACACGATTTGTCGGTGTTGCAGTTACCTATGTACTTTGCTTCAGGTAAACTAACCAACATACTAGATATCTTTCAATCCATACCAAAGTACATTATTATGGTCGTATGGAACTAAACCACCGGTGTTCAACATTAGCACTTGTATCCCTATTGGGGTTAATTTTCAATTAGTGGTCTCCGGAACGTCGCACAAAAAGGGCTATACTCACATCCAGTATTTAAATTAAATTAAATTTTCGAGGCACAACTTCCTTAATTTCAGTCTTCTCAGTGAAGTTGTTCAGGTTTCTAAAGGTAGTGAAGTAACATGCAAAAATACTCTTCGAATTCCAGCTTTCTTAACTTTTACGCAGGTCCACAAGGAAAGGACTGACCGAGAGTCGGCTGCGACAAAGTTAGATAACCGTTCCTATTTTCAACCTCAGTTGTCTAACGAAAGGTGTCCGTTTTTCCTCTGGACTATATCAATCCATGTAAGAGTCTATCCAGGACCGTAGCAGGTTTCCTACGGATTACAGCGACACAAAGGCAATCTAAAGACTGGGTCCCTTGAACTGATGAGTACCATCCAGTTTGGAAGGAATGATGCGTTTCAGTTTGTCTTCAGGATCCATTATAAACACTTGTAACTAGTTTAGTCATAGCATCCGTGGTTCCTGCTTTTCATGGCGAGACGTCATAGACCCGTGATATTACCTTCAGCTAGTGCCTCTGAATTCAGGACCTCAGCAACAATCAGCCAGTTTTGGTGTTTGATCCTTATTGGGAATCATCATCAGCGCATATCTCACGAAACTCGAGAGACTCTCGAACCCGCGACCTCCCAACTACAAGTTTGAACTTCTAACCTCTCCTCGCACTATCGACAATCCATTATTAGCTCAGGGGAAGAATATAATTCACCCGATGGGTGTAACTTCCGCCTGAGAAGTCGTTCCTCGATAAGTCAGTCAACACGTATGACCACTTGATGTGGATTCCGGTATTCGGGGATGGGTGGCACTATGCTTCTTTCGAGTGTCAGTTAAGCAATGTGTCGAAATCTTGGCAGCTCGGGTGTGTTTACTGGTGGTTGATCAGATGGCCGTTAATCTGTTCGCCGAGCTTTGTAATCGGTTTGCAAACGTGGAGTCCTCGTTAGTGAGCAGTTTAGTGGGCGCTTCCTACTTGCCTAGCTGTGTTTATATAGTCTTTGAAGAGTATCTAATATCCTATCATGTAACTGGTTAATTGGTGTGTCCCTTTCCTGTAATATTGTTGACCCGATCTTGATTTGTGATACGTTGTGGTTTGTGTATCCCGTACTCCATTGAATGGTTGGATAGCTCTTTTCTGGTGTCTTAGGTCTGTTTTTGATTGACCTGTTCTCAGTTTGTGTTGTTTTGTGGTTTTCTTCAAGTTTGGTTGGTCGTGATGGCGATTTCTATTTTTGGTGATTTCGTCCCTTCAGTTTGATTGTTCCGTTCTTAGTTTGTGTCGCAGTCTCATCTTGTTGAGTTTGTTTAGCCGCTTATACTACCCTGTTTAATGTATTTTTGGCTTTCTCATGTTGGTCGATTTGGTTCACTCGGATGGTCCGTTTTTTGTTGTCCTTTATCTTCCTTTGATTTATCAGTTGGATACTAGTCTGGGAAAGTGTGTTAATCCCCTCTTTTTTGGCTTGTCTATAGTTCTTTTGCTCACAGAAGTCGATAGTGTGGGCCGATTATCATATGTTTGTTGATGGCTCCTTCAGTGGATCGCTGTGCTTCCATGAATTTACGTCCTTCCTCTGTTCTGGCATGAGCCAATGCGTGAATGTTACTCCAGTTTAATTTGTGTCCATCTTGATCTTCGTGCACAGGAACGAGTGAAAATTAGTCGTCTTCTAATTAGAAGTATCTATTCATGTATTTCCTTCCTTTTTGTCACAATCTCAGCTTTGGTTCTTGTGTAGGACGTTGGTCCCGAAAATTGCGTCCAGTCATCCCTCTGGATTTGACAGTGTTCTCCGTAGGATGCTCGCAGGTTTGTGGGACACGGTTGTGGTATACTGTCGTAGCAGCCGTTCAGTCATTTTGGAAATTGTGATCCATTTGCCTTCTTGTGCTGTTGGATTTGCTGAATCGGGTTTCCTGAGAGTCCACCAGATGAAATTTCAGGGGTATTGACTTCTCTTAGGAGCTTTGTATAGGCGTGCTTCTCTGATTTTAAACTCCGTAGTGTTACAGTGCGTCTCCATAAGCTTGAAAGGAATCCGGATGCAGTTTTGCTTGTGACAGTTCGCATGATTGCTGTGTTAGCTGAGAATTCGGTCTGTATGCGTTGACTTTCTCTGGACTTTTGTCTGCAGTTGTCCTTTTGGTAATCTCATTATGAGAACGTCTATGAATACCAGTTTTCCATCGGTATCTTCCATTGGTAATTAGATTTCACCAACAACGCTGTTCATTAGTTGGCCTGTTCGTTGTAGTTCACTCCTTTTGATGATGAAGAAAGTGTCATCCACGTAGCGGATCCATATTTCGGGGTTTACATCCGGAAGACAGTTACCGGTTAATCACACTGCTGATCAGTTGTTCGTGGCCGAATGGTATAGAGTTCAAACTTGTATGCGGCAGGTCTCGAGTTCGAGACCACGCACTGCTGATGATTCCCAATAAGGATGGAACAGCTGTACAGTAATTTTCGGCCAACCAACATAGACCGGCTTCACTTACTACACCAAAATTCCAAAATCTCCTCACCCTACCAACAATCAGCGACAGCAACGCACCAGTGTAAATGATTGCGCTTAACTGCCACAGAGCCATGGGAGACGGATATGCTAGGGAAAAGTGAGGCAGAGCGTGCGGACTTAGTGCGAGATGCCCTGTGTTTTGGGGGCAAACTGTAACGATCAAGTTACCTAAACCACAAACCGCATTGAAATGAATATATCCGTGCATCTTGTCGGTGTGGACACCACCAGCGAGACTGCTTCAGCACTTCTTGCGAAGCACACCCTAAACGGACTCAGCGACAAACTTGGGCTAGACTGTATCGCCGGTAAGTGACAGCATTGTCGATCGGTTACATGTCACGTCGTGTAAACTTTCCAACCAAATGCAAAATCACGTGTTTGGTGTTTGTTTTGACGTGAACGCTAGCTTGGGAGGCTCAGACCGAGAACTAAGCTGAGGAAAATACAGTTACAACAAGTACGGACTAGGAATGAGAAACGGCGGGGTTTTTTTAGAATAAACCGTGGTTGGGCGTGCTTATTCCATACCCCAACCGCCCTAGTGTGACAAATTTCACCAGTTGCTCTGGCCGCTCGGTTTCGCTACAGACAATCACGTGACCAGTATAGATTTGTCCCAAATGACTGCAGTTGCGAAGTCAAGGGAAAGTCACATGATTGTCTACAGACATTTTTTTCTGAAACATACCACACAACACAGTAAAATGGTGTCAGAAACGCTCACTAACCAGCGGTCATCTTTAACAGGGTCCATTGATCTGGGGCGAATGCAACACAATATCTGGTGATGAGTAGCTATAATTAGTTGGGAAGTCTGTGAAAACAACTAGCTTTTCTCGCGAAAGGCAAACGTCGATTAGTCTGGTTTGCCAAAAGCATGAACAAGAGATTTCATGAGGCGCGAGTTACCACACATGGGACATTGCGTCAGTTAGCCGTGGTTTCACTTATTCAAAGATTGTAAGTTTGGGCCAGCATGAAATTGGGGGAGTGTTCTAGAGTAGTACATTTCGGTGGGCATGTGCAGGGAAGGTGAGGTTTTCGCAGGGATTTGCGCGACAGAGTGACGTGGGAAGACGTGCGTTCAGAAAAACATTCGCTGTAGTAGTAGTAGTACCAGCTCTCTCCCTCTTTTCACTTTTTACTTTAATGTCTTAAATGAACTTCGCGACAGTGAAGCATCAATGTCATCACTGATGTCCCTGTATCTGATTAAAATAATACGAAGAGGAGGCTATGTTCACACGGTGTGCTTGAGGAAAACTCATCGGTTAAAGTAGATGATAAAATACTGACCACCTTCCAAACATATGTGCCAAAGTCCGCTTCGTCAGTACTGCTACATCGACCAGTATCAGTTAACTTGGTCCGCTTGCCTACTAGTGATTAAGTAATCGTTCCACTTATTTAAAAAATGTGCTTCCCATAGTACGCAGTTGTGAGGTGTTCCAAACAAGTTACCCTTTGGCAGCACACCTTCGCAAGTCGTCGGTGGACGATGCTTACTTTGACAATCCCGTATGTCATAATTGACCATCGGTGGATTTGCGGCTCCCTGCCACTCGGAAGCTCACCACACGACAGAGTGATTTCATCCGTAGAGCAGTCTGGGCCGTACAGTGGAGATATATTTGAGCAGTCCGGGTTCAGTTCCTCGGATGGACGTATATTGCCATCGTTGCCCTGAAAATCTACACTGGTTGCTTCATCTAATGAAGAATATGAAAGCTTCCTTTTCCCATACCGTGGGGTTGCAATCCACACGATTTAGGTTTACTTCCATATTCGTGAATTTTGTTCATTTCCCGATGGTTTTTTTCTGGACGTTTAGGTAGAATAAGCATTTATGGAGCATTCCGAAAATACACATTAATTTATCATCGTGTTTACGAGGCATGTGCACCGGTGAGCCCCATTTGAATATAGGACAATGACCAACAGGGTCTTGTGGACAGATTTCTGCGGCTTAAATAAATGTCCACCTAATTTTCCACTCACTTAATTTTTTTAACCAAATGGTCCTTGAGTTGGTCTGGTTTACCGGCGTCAGTACAACGATTCCCTAATTACTCTGTACTATATTTACCTGTTCTGATTCTAGAAGCGATGGCTTCCACAGCAACCCAATTGCAGCATTGCTCTGTTGCACCAAGCTCATACACTACTACGGATGTAACTTTTTCACTTTTCTGACCAAATTAACCTAGTCTTCAGCAGAATTCCTCACACAGAGCAATTTCAGTCTGTTGCTGGTGTGTTTACTCTAAAGAACGATCACTGTGTACTAATCCGGAACTAGTGCGCATTGAATACTCAAATTTCTCTCCCGTTGTCAGTCGTCCGAACCTATGAACCTCGACAGAAAACACCCCAATCGTACCTTCTTTTCTTTTACAGGATGATGTATATAAGACAATGGTTCACAGTTACCTTTCGAGCGTGCAATCGAACCAAGAATTGTCGGCTATTGATAGCAAAGTAAGTTCTGTTCGCCTTAACGTCTCCCGTTACTAGATATGACTAAGATAAGCCGTTTGGGGCCGCGGTCCCTTGATTGTCGGGTCGAAAACAGTTTCTATTACGGGCGGTATGGATTACTCGAAATCCTTCTACTCTTTTAGAATCTTGGCCTCTGGTGTTAGACCACCTTTTCGCAATTTTTCTCTTCTATATATGGCACTTTGTCTCGTTGTATGAGGACACTTGTCTATCCTAAATAAATGTTTCGATATGGCGTAGGTAAACATGTCTTTAACAAGAATTTTCATCGGTATTATGAGCTCATGGTAGCCCGTGGTTCAAACCCAACCCCGACCGTTCTTGTTTAGGCTTGGCAATCTGGAAGTATCTCAGCCCCTTTTGGATAGTTCAGCTGCAGATGAACCTGGGTTTTTAATTTCCACGAGTAGCATTGAGAAGAAAGCCACACTTTTCAATTATCATTCTCACAAACCAACAAGCCGGAACTTCAGATGGACACCTAGGACTGATCAAGTCGTCCGGTTGTGAGAAATCCCACGGATTAGCTCCCTGATTGTCTTAAGACCCGGTCAACCTGGTAACTAACTCACTTGGCCTTACGGAGTTTTTATGTCAAAAGCAAAACGTTGCCCAGCAATAACTCCACCGATTGTTCCCTGAATCTTATTGAAACGAAACGCTACAGTTTCTTGACATGACACTGCTCATGAGCATATCAATATCTCAAAGGTTTCCCTTTCAAGGCTGGCAACATCTCTCGACCTTGTCTCTATCGTCTTTTCATGAGTCACGTCCACGCGACACTTGTTGTTTTCGGAATCCTCTTCAGCGCCGAAGAACACCATAAACACTTTCCTTTCTTCCCTATGCTGTTTTCCGTTGTTTTGATATGATTGCAGCTTTTTAACTGCGCATTATGCCACTTTCTCAGATTCATGAATTCGTCGAACAAATCAATCAAATGAAAGTTCACCGAGAGTTTTATCTCGAATTCAGCCGTGATCCACAAGCGTTCATTTCTCGCTGGCTAGCTAGTCAAGCCAGGGACTACTGGGTTATGACCGATGCCACCCCGGGACATCCGGAAGAGGAACGTCGTGCGGAGTTCTACCACGCGCCCTGGACTCAAGAAGCAGTAATGCGTTACTTCTACAATCGAGTAGGTTTATTTCGTATCATTCCTGGTGACCCTGGACAAGGAATAAGCATGACATGACAGTTCAGTGTAGGATTCATCTGACCAACCTGTATAATCCGAAGACTCTCACTCTTTGAAGAGCTGTCTTGGAACTCAAAATTTCCTTTGTCTTCGTGGCTTTGTGACTTAGGAAGCTTACGCGGCACTTGCAGTTTCAAACTGAGCTGGTTTATGGATAGTAGTTCGCCGAATTCAGCCATTTTATTTTAGTGTTTTATGAAGTGGCTGCCTTCTGGGCAGAAGTAGTCTCATTCGGAAGTGTCTCGGATACACGTTACCCAGGCGTGATGATCGACTACCAGGTCTTCAGAAATCTCTGTCAGGTGATCGTTTCGGTGACGAATTCGCTGTCCTTAGAGTTGGCAAACTCGTCCTTGACATGACGTCGGGTACAGTGTTTGTTGGACAATTTCAGCATCTTTATCGCGCCATAGTTGTCCAGATAGTTGAATGCGTTGTCCTCTGGGGTACCGAATTAAGTGTAGTACGCTGTGACAGCGTCCCATTCTCACTCTTGGACACTATATAAACAGCTCTAACAATGTGTCCGAAGCACCTGAGGTAAGAACATCTTGGGTCTTTTACACCCTTTACTCGTAGAGACCACATTTTAAAAGTATAAATCAGGACTCGGTAGATAGTCTTACTGAAGACGGATTTCTGTGCGTGATATAATCTCGATTCTTCTCCATAGGCCATGTTCAGCTGCGTCAGGTCATGCCGGCCATTGTCCATACGCTGTTGAATTTCTCTTGTCTACCTGTTAGATAAAGTGGTGGAACCCAAAGGGTTGAAATCGGAAGCCTACTTGCTTAGTTTTCCCGTTATGTTGAAAAACTGGGCAGGCATGTCCGTGCAGATTTTCGAAACGTCAGTTCCCAATCCCACAAGGGCTGTCTAGCGAACTAGATTACTCAGCGCATGTTGAACTTTTTCAAGTCCTCATTCAATAGAATGGTTTCATCAGCGTAATCCACATCCGCTGTTCGTATTTAAGGACTTTGCTGGACATGAGTATCCTTCCAATATCCCCTTGGACACAGAACTGTGTCCTCGTCCGCGGAAGTGTGAAGGTCTAGCCTGAGTTAACAATATCAAGTGGCGTCAGGCAGGACTGTTCTCGTTCACCATTCCTCTTCAACTTCGTCTCGGTACGAGTGTGAAAGACTCACTACCAGCCTCTAATGCCTGTGGGGTCGAAGTTCTCCCGGGGCGTACACTCAGATATCGAGTACGCAGATGACACAGCTCTTCTTAGATCTGATGCCAAGTGGCCAATAAGTAAATAAATTGGACACTACAAGTGGCTTTTGGTACCATTTTCGTACATCAGGCATGATGTCAAATTTGTTGTTCTCTTCGCGATGTTGATCCACTCAACCCCGCAATGACGATTATGGAGCGTTTGCAACCTAACTTTAAAGCTCGGCGAACAGAGCAACAATCAATCAGCGCACCAGAGCTATCTATACTCCGCAACATCGTCCACTTAGGAGCTTCCTGAGAACATGGAGGAGATTTAGTTTTCTACACTGAACACACGAAGTTGTGAATGCCTCCACGACAAGAGATTTGTGGATCTCATCTGAGATCACTTTGTACTCTGGACTGTTGTATTCTCCCGTTGCTTGACGATCACAGTTGCCTCCAGTTTTTTTCCTTAGTAATGAGGCTGGACTGATGTCGAGTAACGGGTAGCAGTTGTTTGGATTATTCCGCCCTTCGTTTTACCTTCTCGTCAGTCGTTGGGAAACGCACCACACACAGCTGATACTGTTGAGGTAGCGTGCATGTGAAACGAAGTTTGCCAAATTCACCAACGTTCCCAGCCTATTCCATATTCGATGTCTTGTCCCTCACGCATGTTTTGTTATCGTGTGTTCTTTTGCTTTTGCTTGCAAGGGTTGTTCGCTCTAATCGAAGTGGATGGTAACTTAATCCACAGAGATTTTTGCGTCTGTCGTACTACCCGGTCCTTTGGCTGATAACGAGTGAAACTATTCATTTCTCTCAGTACTTAAGTCTTCATACGCCTGTATATCTGGCGGCCTAGCGGTAGGTATATGAGATATCGGTATCCCAAACCGGTTCTGAGCTAGGACAATGCTACATGATGCAGTTGGCGTTCTTGGTTTCTAAATTGCTCATCAGGAGGAGTACAGTTTCTTTGTTGTACCAGTTTAGCTGCTCGATCTTTCGGAAACAGGTTACTTCTAACTGGTGGTCCAAAGTCAACCTGTTATTGAAAAACGGCTGAATCAGACAACTACGATTACACACAAACGTCACGTGCTGTTCGTGTTCTTTTTGAACACTGTCAGTCTTCAAATAAGACTTATGATCTTTGTGGAACAGATCTGCCACTGGACATGACGCTAATATATTCCAACCTGTACGTAACTCTCGAAATCCGGAAAACAAGTGCCTCGGCTTGATTGCTTTAAAAACTGGTGAACTCACTCATTACGGTATCGGCCCCTGTCTTGTTGTCATGAAAGCGTTTACTACCGGTAAGTATTTGAATCTAACTCCCACAGCCCCGCTTTTAGGGACATTTTAACGTTCCTGATGAGTGTTCGAGATTATCAGTTATCAATGTTGTGTTACGCCCTTGGTGCAATGTTTTTGGGTGCTTGACTGTCCGATACAATGCTGCTTCAACTGGCATTTTCGTGCTCCAGTGACGACTCAGACAATAATTTAAGGCGATCACATGGAACGTTAACCGGCCGTGAACCCGAACAGGAATAAGTCCTTGTTAAATAAGTAGACTGAAGTGCACACTCACCGAGCAAGTGATGAATGTACTGGGAGTCGTCTTGCCCATTAACTGTGTACAGCACTCTTTAACGCAAATAGTTCGTACGATAGCGTGCCAGGGCAGCAGTAGTGACAGACTTCCAGATGTGGCTAGATTTGTTTTCTGAGTGCGTGTAAATTTCAAAATGCAGTGTAATTCTCCTGGTCTCCTTGAGACGCCGGTGCCCATTATCAAAGATTAACTGGTTTGTGTTCCGGAGCTCATGTACGGCCCGACACCTGGTGTCGGGCCGTTTTGCACTTGGGTTAAGAATTGTTTTCGTCTGTATTTAGTGTCAGCGCCCTAGTACCAATTCCGAATGCCTTAACCCACCCCTCTCCTTCCGTCTTGCAGATATCTCAACGTAGACAAGATCTGGAACACGCTCTTGGACTAAACAACGGTTGAGAATTCGGTGGATCTTTTTACAAGCATTACTGACTTGCATTTGATTCGTGTACGCAAGCACCCCACTTGACTCCTAATCACTAACTGTTTCTGTTGTCTGTTTATCTATAGTACTATCATTTCCATTATCCCACGCAAATTTATTCTTTTCTCTTTGTATGGTGTCTAAGCGCCAGTGCTTACTGTAAGGCAATGCATGCTGATGCTGAATACGCAAAGACTCAAAATATTCCCCCCACGCAAACATGGGTAAAAAAGAGCTTTTGGGCCTTTCCTGCCCGATGTCGCTTGAATTACGCTTCAACACACAGCAGCAGAATGCATTTGTTTATCTGATAGGTCCCCGCAACCAACCTTTGCAAGCAACAAAACCAGTTCGCACAACTTAGATACACTCTTTGGGCGTTCATGACGAATGATGCAGTCCACGCGGTATGTTCCTCGCCGAAGGGAGCCTTACTATGATTGACAGTAGCAGTAACTGTCATTTTACGCGCAAAAATCACATAATGTCGCTGGTTTTTAGGTTTGAATATTGTGCGTGTTTACAAGTGCACGTTCACCTTGTGCAAAGCCTGTCATTTTATCTCTTATCGAGTGCGCCTGACTCGTCTCCATACTTGGGATCGTCATCACTAAAACGTCCAGATGTGTGGAGACACAGGATCAAAAATCCGCTATTACTTTCTTCTGTCCATCGTTTGTTTCGAAAGGCAGTCGGTGGGTGTCCACTTCGGCTCAGATGAAGCGTGAGTAAGTTGAGAAGTACGGTTAACATCAAATAAACAATGTGTTTGTTGAGGAACTTCCACAAATCCTACTCAGATTGTTTTTCAGGTCAACCTAACAACTGAAAATTACCTTGAACAACTGTAAGTCCACATGTTTCAGTTGAACAACCAAACTCCGTCAAGCAGTTGGGCAGCTAAGTTTCTTTTGAGAGAGACCATCTGAATAGGATCAGTCCACAACCACATACAGTTGGGTAAGCCATGCAGCTTTCAATGACTAAAGTAACGTGCCAAACTTACACATCTGGTCAGCCGGCGCAATTGCTGGCCTCTAAATGGGATCAGTAGGTGCGAACGTGACATTGAAAAGGCAATTCACGCAGTAGCCGCCTTTTATTGCGTTCTGGAAGGCCTTGTTTATTGAGGTATTCTGTAAAAACGACGTTCACTGCCAAAAATTTCCTGGAGGAGCAGTTTGATGTCGAAAAACTGCTCAGCAGTGATTTCGGACGGCTTCTACTGCTGCAAGCGATGGAGGGGAAAATTAACCAAAGAAATCATGATGTCTTCTGCTCGTTCGTTCGAGTCAAATCACGATGAAGCGCCTTGGTATCCTTGAAACAGGATGAACTTGTTATGCGAATGGGTCCATCGTGCCATTAGGAAGTTGTCATAACTGATTACAACTCGCTGATGGTGCCCGGATCTCATCCGACAGTCTATTACCTTGAAGTCATCTATGAATAAGTTCCAAATCGTTTATTTCATTTTGCCAACTGTCCACATGCGGATATGACAAAACTCAGCGCACAAGTGCCTCGGCTTGATTGCTTTAAAAACTGGTGAACTCACTCATTACGGTATCGGCCCCTGTCTTGTTGTCATGAAAGCGTTTACTACCGGTAAGTATTTGAATCTAACTCCCACAGCCCCGCTTTTAGGGACATTTTAACGTTCCTGATGAGTGTTCGAGATTATCAGTTATCAATGTTGTGTTACGCCCTTGGTGCAATGTTTTTTGGTGCTTGACTTGTCCGATACAATGCTGCTTCAACTGGCATTTTCGTGCTCCAGTGACGACTCAGACAATAATTTAAGGCGATCACATGGACAGTTAACCGGCCGTGAACCCGAACAGGAATAAGTCCTTGTTAAATAAGTAGACTGAAGTGCACACTCACCGAGCAAGTGATGAATGTACTGGGAGTCGTCTTGCCCATTAACTGTGTACAGCACTCTTTAACGCAAATAGTTCGTACGATAGCGTGCCAGGGCAGCAGTAGTGACAGACTTCCAGATGTGGCTAGATTTGTTTTCTGAGTGCGTGTAAATTTCAAAATGCAGTGTAATTCTCCTGGTCTCCTTGAGACGCCGGTGCCCATTATCAAAGATTAACTGGTTTGTGTTCCGGAGCTCATGTACGGCCCGACACCTGGTGTCGGGCCGTTTTGCACTTGGGTTAAGAATTGTTTTCGTCTGTATTTAGTGTCAGCGCCCTAGTCCCAATTCCGAATGCCTTAACCCACCCCTCTCCTTCCGTCTTGCAGATATCTCAACGTAGACAAGATCTGGAACACGCTCTTGGACTAAACAACGGTTGAGAATTCGGTGGATCTTTTTACAAGCATTACTGACTTGCATTTGATTCGTGTACGCAAGCACCCCACTTGACTCCTAATCACTAACTGTTTCTGTTGTCTGTTTATCTATAGTACTATCATTTCCATTATCCCACGCAAATTTATTCTTTTCTCTTTGTATGGTGTCTAAGCGCCAGTGCTTACTGTAAGGCAATGCATGCTGATGCTGAATATGCAAAGACTCAAAATATTCCCCCCACGCAAACATGGGTAAAAAAGAGCTTTTGGGCCTTTCCTGCCCGATGTCGCTTGAATTACGCTTCAACACACAGCAGCAGAATGCATTTGTTTATCTGATAGGTCCCCGCAACCAACCTTTGCAAGCAACAAAACCAGTTCGCACAACTTAGATACACTCTTTGGGCGTTCATGACGAATGATGCAGTCCACGCGGTATGTTCCTCGCCGAAGGGAGCCTTACTATGATTGACAGTAGCAGTAACTGTCATTTTACGCGCAAAAATCACATAATGTCGCTGGTTTTTAGGTTTGAATATTGTGCGTGTTTACAAGTGCACGTTCACCTTGTGCAAAGCCTGTCATTTTATCTCTTATCGAGTGCGCCTGACTCGTCTCCATACTTGGGATCGTCATCACTAAAACGTCCAGATGTGTGGAGACACAGGATCAAAAATCCGCTATTACTTTCTTCTGTCCATCGTTTGTTTCGAAAGGCAGTCGGTGGGTGTCCACTTCGGCTCAGATGAAGCGTGAGTAAGTTGAGAAGTACGGTTAACATCAAATAAACAATGTGTTTGTTGAGGAACTTCCACAAATCCTACTCAGATTGTTTTTCAGGTCAACCTAACAACTGAAAATTACCTTGAACAACTGTAAGTCCACATGTTTCAGTTGAACAACCAAACTCCGTCAAGCAGTTGGGCAGCTAAGTTTCTTTTGAGAGAGACCATCTGAATAGGATCAGTCCACAACCACATACAGTTGGGTAAGCCATGCAGCTTTCAATGACTAAAGTAACGTGCCAAACTTACACATCTGGTCAGCCGGCGCAATTGCTGGCCTCTAAATGGGATCAGTAGGTGCGAACGTGACATTGAAAAGGCAATTCACGCAGTAGCCGCCTTTTATTGCGTTCTGGAAGGCCTTGTTTATTGAGGTATTCTGTAAAAACGACGTTCACTGCCAAAAATTTCCTGGAGGAGCAGTTTGATGTCGAAAAACTGCTCAGCAGTGATTTCGGACGGCTTCTACTGCTGCAAGCGATGGAGGGGAAAATTAACCAAAGAAATCATGATGTCTTCTGCTCGTTCGTTCGAGTCACATCACGATGAAGCGCCTTGGTATCCTTGAAACAGGATGAACTTGTTATGCGAATGGGTCCATCGTGCCATTAGGAAGTTGTCATAACTGATTACAACTCGCTGATGGTGCCCGGATCTCATCCGACAGTCTATTACCTTGAAGTCATCTATGAATAAGTTCCAAATCGTTTATTTCATTTTGCCAACTGTCCACATGCGGATATGACAAAACTCAGCGCTGGTCTAGCGTAGCCTTTTGGTCTCAACACGCCTGAATTGGCTGCCTGGATGGAGTTTCCGCTTCGGTCATCTGCATAGTGTCTTGAAAACCATGGTGCAAATCTTCGCCACCAAACAGAAAGCTAATAAATCCAGTTAGACCTTATCCGTTCATGTATTGCATTGTACTAAAACGGCTTCAACAGCGACATACCATTTTAGGCATCCACTTAGGCTGAATGCAAACGAATGAGAATAGAGAATAGTCCAGGGCATAAAAGGATGTGAAAGTGAGGTCTTTCCCACCCTATTGAAATCAATTTGTTGCAGTTCAGCACAAAAATAGAACCTGAAGTCTTACGTCAACAATCCATCTGCAACCTATGCGTCATGACACATTTTCGAGTGCACTCGCTCCTTATGAAGACTTCTTCAGAAGGAAACGCTCTGCGTTAACCCTTGAAAGAAAGCATGTGCTAATAACTTCGCAGAATGAAATTTCCTTTAGCACCCACGTCCAGAGATAATCTTTTCGACTCAGAAATGGGCTGATTTGTTTTTCGGGTCACCGACGACTGCAAGTGAAGGTAGCCGTCGTGCAGTACCTATCTAGCACGAGCAGTAGCCGTCTAAATTGACTTCTCATCCCACAAAAGGTACGTTTTGCAGGTGGGGAATGCACTTCCCGGTCACAAGTCAAATAAAAAGTTCGTTGTGTGGGAGCCAAGCGGGTGTATTTTCACCGACGGGACACTGAAAAAGTCAAGGACCAAGGAACGGTGATAAGAGGAATACACGAAAACTGGAATCCACGAGTACACCGACTGCTCCGTTGATATATACTCGTCAATTTGTTTTGCCCTTCAGTACCTTGCGTCGTTGCGACAGCATGTGACAGTAAAGTTTCGGAGCCACTAAAATGCAAGACTATGCTTTCTTCAATAAGAGGACTTACCAGGGATGTAACTAAGCATGACCAGTACGATTATCCAACTGTAGTCGAAACTGACGTTGAAGCTGTTCGGCATTGGAAATCGGTAAAGGCCATTCTTCCATAGGAACACAACGGCTGTATACATATATATGAGTTCACCCTGAAGAACACGAGTATAGGGGGGGAAAGGCTCCAATGGGCAGGAGAATTATCCTGGAATGTTTCCAAGACCAAATCTAAGCGGTTTCTACACAGACCTTACTTAAATGCTATCTGACAGCGACTGTCTCGTGGGGCGGAAATTGATATGTTTCAGAACCGACCCGGAAGAAAGTTCGTGGCGCGAAACCCACAAAATCATAAGTTAGTAGCAAACTTGTTCTAAATATAAGTATCCCTCCTTCAAGAAAGACCATTTTGGCGGGTCCTTTGAACCCTCTTTCAATGGTCTACAGGAGATGCACTCGCAACGAGGACAAATGTTCTTGTAACGGACTATGGTCAAAAGTGAGTTGTTTTGTATACAAAACATGCACCGTTGACTTACACTGATTCCTGTTGGGTACAGCACCGTGAATGCGGTATATCTGTGACGCAGTGACACACTAAATGCAAGGTCTCACCTTAACCAGGTCACAAAACCTATAGAACTGTTGCAGATGGTTAGTGCGTAATACACATAGCGAACTATTTCAGCTAAGGACCAGGACACAATGCACAAGGGAGCGGCAATTGTCTCTTGCTTCATCTGAAGAAAAAAATTTAGGTAGATAAATAACAAGAGGTACTTACCAGCGGAAGCATTATTCCCCAAACGACGAACACCCGGGACATGAGCTGTACAGCCGTCAGAACGGGAGACGACTTAACCAAACGCAAACAGGCATGTAGGATCTGTACATCCAGCGTAATCGCACCACCCGACACAACCTACTTCGATTAGAGCCAACGTTTGAAATGTTCGTAGGAGAAATTCAACATTCGAACTGAGCGCCAACCAGTTTCCAGAAGAGCAGGACTCAGTAACAAAAGAATACAGCAAGTATGACCAGCTACACATGATATGCTCAGTGTCCAAGAAACTCACCCGAGCAGCTGTAAGCTATTATAGCCCAAGAGATAACTTGCTCCTAAGGAGATTCGAGACATAACGGAATTATTACACCGGAAGCTGGAATGGAAAAAAAGCCACCTGAACTGTTTAGGCGGAAGTGGATTGCGTTCGGACACATAGTAAGGACTACACTTTTGTTCTACCCTCTAACCATGTGAATAAATACGGTGGTTCTGGTTGCCACAGTCTCTGATCGGTGACAAAGAAAGATGGGGCTTGAGAGAACTGCGATTGGACGGTGATTGAATGAAGGTGCCACCGTTTTCGCGATTACGCCGTATCAATGAGGAAATCCGAAGATGGACAGGGTAAATCTTTAACCCTGCACCCTGGTGGACAAGAAACATCAACGTAACCAAGACTGAGTTATGTTTTTGATACTTTCCTTCCTAGTTATAGACAAAATACCCCAATCTTGGTATGGCAAATAAAGCCTAGCTGAGTAAACGGTTCTCAGGTATGCACAAAAGGCGATCCAGTCATCGTGTAGCTGTAGCAAACTGTTCACTACTCGCCAAATACCGTAGAACATACTGCAGCGTTGGAAATACGGTGCACACACGACAAACGTGCAGTACTGCGTAAATACCGACCATCCTTGCGGTGGTCGAGATTCACCGATGAATTCGGTGCCAGCACAGGCCTTCCTTTAAGCTAACCACTTACGGCATCATCATGATCTAAACCAGCCAGCAAGTCTACAATGCCACAGTCCGATCTGTGCTGTCGTGCGCGTGTACCCAGAGGTACGAATAGCTGACATCCGAATCAGATTTCCCGGTCAACAGTGGCCAAGCCACTGGACGTCCGTGCACGGATCAGCAACAAGCGGTTTGCACTGGGCCAAATGTGGTGCTGCATGCAAGCCTTTCGCGCCGATATAGATCCAGGGGAATAGGACCGCTAATCAAAAGTGCAGAGGCCTGTTGCATGACGTCGGGCAACCTAAACTTGATTGTGAAGCAACGAGCGCCAGCACAAGTTGTTTATCGAGGTACTGGCATTATCATCCTATTTTCTTAAGTTTCAGTGTAATACCGCAGCACCTACACTTGAAGGTTGTCATTTTCACTATGCACACCTCTTCGGCAACAACCTTGACCATTACACTGACGCAAACTCTCGTCCCTTTTCTGCCTTAGAAAAAACAGTACGATAAAGGCCAGCGAGCCAACATGCTGACCGAAGCTCTACGGCCTTCAAACTAAGAGTTACGACAGTTGAATCGAGTCAACTTTGTCGCCCGCTATCGCCAGAAAGGATCCACCCAAGATTAGCAGACGCAGCTTGGAATCAGACCACGTGGTTGTTTAAGAATAATTCTAGGTCAACTGTGAACTTGACATCATTGTTCTGATGTTACCACACTACAGACCAACTAAACCGTGTGCGTGTTGCGCAGTGCTCAGAATGGCCCACTGAGGTCGCCAATGGTATGGGAAATAGAGGATAGCTATGTACTGAAGTCGGTAGCTGATGCCGTTGGTGTGTGAGTCTGGGAGTGGCACTGGATTTACCAGTGGGAAGATCGGGATGGGAAATTATGTCTTGAAATAACACCTTGGGTGCATGCTCTACTGAGCCAACGCCTATAACCACTAGTGTGCTGTCTCGAGATGTCCATCAAAAGAGATACCAGTGACCACAGCAGCTTTCGTAATTCGCTGCCTAGTAGCTATTTGACCCGTTGGCTTGTATTCGCCTCCTAGTTGGTTGTACGAAAAGTGTTCGAGGAAGTACGAAGCACGCGGCCAATCCAGTATTGCTTATTGGAGTGTGAACTTGTCCGCTGCGGGCAATTCCATTATTTAGAAAAGCTTTTGACGTACTTTAGTATTACTGATCCGGTACTCCCACCAGACTCGAGCAATTCCCCCAAGACTCCGATGGTCCTGAGCGCGCAGCGACCAGGCTTATGATTCATATAGCAATAAGGAACACACCGCGACATTGTAAACTCGAGCTTTCACAAGTAAACTGATATCACGCCTACGCCACAGGTAATGCCGGTTCACAAAAGCTGCTCTGGTTATACCAATCCGGACGGAAAGATCGTGCTTGAGTAGACCACTAGGACTGATACAGCTACTCAGGTAGACGAATGTGTTCACTATTTCAACCGCCCAATTCACAATCATGGATTCGACCCATCTAATCTTGCAGCAGCACTGTATTTTGCAGGTGTGCGGCGCGTGCCGAGCCATGAAGCAGAATTATTCAGGCTGCGACAGCGGAAGTCGTTCAGCTGTAGCATCCTTTCGGTGCCTAACTGCCATGCCACCCGAATGTTGCACGAGGGCATGGATACTGCCGGGTTGCCCAAGCCTAGGCAGGGTAAGTCGAGAGGCAGAGGTCAGGTTCGAACAACGGACCTTCCGGTTAGTAAATTCGGGCCCTAACCACTCAGTCATCTCGCATCAATGACGTCAGATCCAAGAACAGCCACGTCTTCTGTGCACTCGACATTTGTGAGCTAATGCACATAATCCTATCAATGGCAAAGTTGGGGACATTAATTAATTAATCTCCTGAACATTCGTTGCTGTCATACGCTCTTCACTATTTGACGTTTGGGGGGTCGCATGCGCCTTTTGCCTGATCAGGACTAGAAGACTCCAAGATATCCGGTGTTCGTTTGATCGCATCATGGAAGTTGGAGAGATAGCCTTGAACGCGGCTGGCATAGCTCCCTTCACACTTCCTCTGCTTCATCCACGTGCTTTCTAACAGCAAAGAGCTGGTTTGCTGTAAAGAATAGTTGAGTAGCACAGCAGTTAATCGGCACTGTTGAGCTATAGTATTTCTTCTTCGAAGATAGTGGACTGACATGCTCCCTGCTGACTAGCGAAATCCAGCAAGAAAGCAAGCTGTCAGGCTCATCCGCACTATGGCGTGATCGGAATCAAGTTGTGTGTCCCCAATAGAATGACAGTCTTGATTTGTTTCTCACCATCAGTGGCTGATGGCCACGTGATCCAGCTTAGTCTATGGCTGATTTCCGCTTGGGCGTCGCCAAGCCACGCGATGCGAGCGTTTATGTTGAAAATTCGTGCTGCCAGAAACAGCTGACGACCAACACACAGCTGGAGGAGTCGCCCCCGTTGTATGAGTGATGAGCACCGACTCCGAATTCATAGCCGAAAAGTGATTCTACCGAGCTCAGACGGCCGAATTGAGCATTCATACCACCCGCGATAGCCACAGTGTGAGTTCTTCTGGCTTAACGGATGAGTCTGGACAACTCTCGATAGAAACTATCATTGTCAGTGTGGAAACTGCAGTCCGTTGGGGCCAATGTTACAAACAGGCACAGATTTTATGTCCAGTAGCTTTGAGCTTGACTGAGCTAGATGACCGAACTGCGCGAAGACGACTGTTCGCTGGAATCCCATCCAGCAATACGCGTTCAGCTCTGGAAATTGACACAACTTTTACGCCATATATTTCACGAGTCGTCACCATCGGCAGCATGACATCAGTTGATGTTTCAATGCCGTACGACCGACATTTATTTGGAAGCCTTGTTGTGAAGAAAAGAATAGAGGGGTAGGGAAGGGGCTTAGTGCTGGCTTAATACAATCATTCTGAGGGGCCTACAGCTCCAGACACTCGTTCAGGTAGGGTGGATAAAAACTGGCAAGAACACCAGCGACAACAATTAGAAGCTATTTCTAACAGCATCCATGCACAGTGGGGATCATACGAGTAAGGCGAGCAGCACCGGTAGCACTTAAACATTTTGTAATCACGTTCATACCCCCCTGCCAGGCAAACGTTGGCCATCTCTCTTCTTCCGCCACTCTGAACTTAACTCGGAAAATAGCACTCTTCTCGGCAAACGACGATTCGCTATGCACAATACATGACCTAATTAACGCAGCTTTGGGTGTTGGACACATTGTTAAATGGAAGTCCCCGTTGCACAACCGAAAATTCGCTCTCTAACTCTCTCGTTACGGATTCACCGACACCAACCCGTACGGGTTACGGTTCTGAGACGTCTGTTCCGCTGTTCGAACAGCTATACAATAAAACATCCCGTATGATAGCCTGATACACACGTCCCTTGAGATTCAGAGATACACCGCTTTGACGCCATTGATGCTTCAAACTAGCAAACGCGACCAGGGTCTTGCATATTCCTACACTGAGCGCATCTGTTACGCTACACTCGGGGCTGATACAAATCCCCAGATAAGTAAAACACTATAAAATTTCGAAAACCTCTTCCTGGGTTGTAATAGGCGTGTTCAGTGACTACATGTCGAAAAGCATGACCGTACACTTTGTGGGTGCAAAGCAGATACCAGATACGGCAGTGAAGCATCGGTGTTGAACACTGATGTAATGCTGTCGGTGATGATGAGATACCAAAGGACGGGATGACCGGTCAGTTCATCCGAAAATACCTACGTCTTCTACCCTTCGAAGACGATGTTGTCTGTATATTCCAAATCGGCAAGGTTTTCAGCAGCAGCTTCTTGAACACCGGGGTTTGAAGACCTTCGAGCGTTCGCCTCATTTACTCATCGATCAAGAAATTAAACAGGAATATAGAGAGTGGGCGACCTTGAGAGCACTCCGTACACTATCACACGCCCAGAAGTCCTGGAATACAAAAAGCTTATTATGTTCACAAACTTCCAGGGCATTCCTTCATGGGCAGGTGGTCAACGAGAACAGACCGACTAAACGGGTCTCATGCATCTTGGAAATCTAGGAATACCATATTGTGGGATCGCCTATATGTATGACGTTGTTCTAACACCTGGCGGAATGTAAAGATCTGGTCAACGCGAGACGTGCCGTGTCAAAATCCTGAATGCTGCCCTCGAACTAACATAAGGTGACGAAGCAGCAGTCATCAGCCTCGTTACAACCGGGGTTAAGCTGATCCCTCAGTGGTTATCACACCCACAACGAGCCCAGTGAAGCATGTTGAACA